GTGTCTGTATGTGCATAGGTACCTACTATTTACTTTTATTTATTTATTTTTTTTATAGTTGACTGATTCTGTAAAACGTCTGAAAGACAGCAACCTTTCATCTGCGGGATCGTCCATTACCCCAAACAGCAGTACTCCATTTTCCCACGATACTGCCTATTCCAGCTGTCGGCAAGACACCCCAAACTCATATAGCCAGTATACCCCACAGTCCCAAGGAACCCCACTCACCCCACGACTGGGGACTCCGTTTTCCCAAGATTCAGCCTATTCCAGTCGTCAAACAACACCAGCTTACCATTATGGACAGGACTCTGGGTATAAACCCAGGAGACATGAAACAAAATTTACAGATGCCTACAACAGGCGACTAGGACATCACTATGTCCATAATTCGGCAAGTGTTCACAGAGGGTCAGAACATCAGTTTAGCACATACAAGTCTCATCAGCAAGAGCCAGTACAATATTCTCACACTCCTCCCTTGAGCCACTCTGGTTCTTCAACTTATAAATCTGCCTTCTCTCCATACCAAGCACCAGCTGTGTTTCCTCCTTCTGATGAGCAGCAATATTCCCAAACTTCCAGAGATGCTGAGTACCGGAGACCTGTACCACCTCTAGCCGAGATCTTAATAGAAGGTAATGCTGCCACTAATATTGACTTTGTTCCTGTGAAAGAAAAACAGGAGGAACTCCCACCTCTGCCACAGCCAAACTGTGTTACTGAACAAAGTACTGCATCCTTCTCTCAGACGCCAGAAAGGAGTGAAACACCTGGCACCCCAACCATGGAGTCTGAAATGCAGCATAACAGTTTAGACTCAAGGATTGAGATGCTCTTGAAAGAGCAGAGAACAAAGTTACCTTTTCTCAACGAGCATGATTCGGACAATGAGATCCGAATGGAAGGTAGCCCTATCTCTTCCTCCTCCTCCCAACTTTCTCCTATCCCATTGTATAGCTCGAATGCTCAGCCCAGTTATAGAGGTCAAACCCCATCCTCACGTCCCTCCAGCACTGGCTTAGAGGACATTAGTCCAACACCGTTACCAGATTCTGATGACGACGAGCCAATCCCTGGGACACTTCCTCTGAGCCAGAATTCAAGAGGGACATCAGAGGCTGGTATGATTCCTATTGATCAGCTAAGTAGCACATCCAAAGCAGAGACTTCTGAGACTAAAGAAATGCTACCTGGTGACCAGACACCAACATCAGAAAAAATGGATGAGGTAAGATCAAGAGAGAATTTAGAAAATCTATATGTACGTGACTAGAACAAGGTAGATCATGTACTCCTATTTAAAAAGTTGTCTTTAGAAACTGAGGGTGTGTGTGTGTGTGTGTGTGTTAGCATGCATGGTTTTAGCTAGGTTTGGCTCAGGGAGTTGGTAATGGGGTTGATGTGATATGAGCTGATAAGGATGTGAAAGGTTAACCAGGTCAGTCAGTAATCATCACCCTTAATGGGTAATGGTAACTGTAGGGTAAACTGAGGCAGTCCACTGGTTCTGGTTAACAGGGGGCTGTAGCAGCACCCCCCTTACCATGGGCAGGACATTGCTCAAGCCCTGTGGGTGGTCTGGGCACTCCACAGGCAGGGGC